TATGAGGAAGCACTTGCTGATTTAAACAAATCACTAGAGATAAAACCAAATGATGTAAATACATTATACAATCGTGGGGAAGCATGATGGATAAATATGAAGAGTCACTTCAAGATTTAAATAAAGCATTAGAAATAAATCCAAATAATGCAAGTGCATTGGGCAGCCATGGCAGAGTTTATCTCATGATGAATAAATATGAAGAGTCACTTCAAGATTTAAATAATGCATTGGAAATTGATCCAAATAATGCAAGTGCATTGAGCAGCCGTGGAGAAGTTTATCGTATGATGAATAAATATGAAGAGTCACTTCAAGATTTAAATAATGCATTGGAAATTGATCCAAATGATGCAATCGCATTGAGCAGACGTGGAGAAGTTTATCGTATGATGAATAAACATGAAGAATCGCTTACAGATTTAAGTAAAGCATTAGAAATGGATCCAAATTATGCATGGGCATTAAGTTCTCGCGGTGCCACACATCGCGAGATGAAAAAATACGAAGAATCAATTGCGGACTTAAATAAGGCATTAGAAATTGATCCGAATGATACATTTTCATTATTCAATCGTGGAGAAGTTCTTCGCATGGTGGGTAAATATGAAGAATCACTTCAAGATTTATATAAAGCGTTAGAAATAGATCCAAATTGCAAGTCGGCATTAACATCTGGTAAAGAAACGTGTCGCATGATGAAAAAAGATGATGCACTTGTATACTTAAATAAGGCATTAGAAATTGAGCCGAATAATGCATTTGCATTATACAATCGCGGAGAAGTTTATTATGAGATGGACAAATTTGAAGAATCGTTTGCAGATTTTAGCAAAGCATTAGAAATTGATCCGAATAATGCATTTGCATTATACAATCGGGGAAAAGTTTATCATCAGATGAACAGATTTGAAGAATCGTTTGCAGATTTTAGCATATGAATTAGTAACTGGATATCCACCTTATTATAATAATCCACATGATTATGAGCTTGCAATAGAAATTTGTAAAGGTCTACGTCCAAAGATTCCATCATATATACCAGAATTTATTACCAAGTTAATTATGCAGTGTTGGAATGCTCAGCCAGAAAAAAGACCAACTGCTAAAGAATTGTTTCTTAATGTATTAGAATCGCCGTCCTGAATATATTGAGCAAATTAAAAAAGCTGAAGAAATGACAAATAATATTTTAGCATCAAATGCAAAAACATCACTTGATTACAAATTACATCCTGGAGCAATTTATACTAGTAGACTTCTTAAAACATCAAATCTTCCGAAACCAATAAATACAACAGATTATGAAAATCAGCTTAGTAAATTGATAAAAGGTATTTGCACGTAATAAATTGTAATATTAGTAATATTAATGATTTGTTTTTTAAGTTTTAATTAATTAATTTATTTGTTTATTTATTTTTAGATTCTGAACTTATAAATCTTGAAATTTCTGAAGGTTACTAACTATTTATGTTCAACATTTATATAAAATATTTATTTAATTTCATCTTAGATAAAGTAGCTGTTAGCAAAACAACTTATATTTATTACACAAAAGAAATTGAAATTTGTTAAATTAAATATTCATTCTTCATCCTTTTATTTTTATAATTTCATCTATCTTACATTTATATAGCTATATCATATAATACTTATTATATTTTTATTTATTATTTGCCATTCTTTTTTATTATTTTATTATATCATTATTATATTTTTATGAATAAAACATATATTAATTAGATATAAATCATATATATAATAAATATATAGTTGAACTCCCAAAACAAATTTTATCAAAACTAATAACCTATTAATTCTGATAAAAAGTTAATCTACCAAGCAGTTCTCAAGTGCCTCCCTCAATGTAATTAGCTAGTGATCTCAAACGCTACGATCAATTGAAATAAAGATTGCGATTGGTGCTTGAGCTATCTCTTTCTCTGATTTTCATTATGGCTTCAAGAAAAAAAGGCGATTACCCAGCTACCTAAAAATTTAGCATCCAAGACATTGGCATTTGAAACTTGCCTCCAGCCATCTTCTAAACAATTTCGCAAATAACTTTTTATTGCAGCAACAGCCATATTTGATTACAAGTCATTACGGCAACAACT